GCCTTTGATACTCTAAAGGAAGCCTTGTATTATCAACACAAGATCGGAGGAAAGATTAACAGAATCTCGGGTATGCATACAGAATGGGTTGATACTCCAGGGGGCGGAGTAGTTGGTATAGACAAGGAGATGGCCAAAAAATATTATTGTCTAACAGTGACCGATAAAGCCACCCTACGAAACGGATTTATATACATCAAAGAATTATTATTACAACACCATAACTTTAAAATGCACACCGACTACACCAAGCTAACAGAAAATCATATAGGAGTGTGGAGTGTTAAAACAGATGCCTTTGTTATCAGGAAGGAGCATTTAAGACGCGCTAAGAACCTAATAGAGTTCAATGAACGCATCGGGGGGTGGAGACACGAAAAGAGTAAAAACATAGCTGACCCCACAGAGCAGTGGGCACCAAAAAAGAACGAACTGATACCAATTCCCGTAGTTAGCAATGAGACCCGACCCATAGAAAACGAATGGGACACGGAAAGCATAGCAAAAGATATTGTAACGCATAACCCTATGATGATCCGATCTAAGTATGCAGGTGGTGGCAAGTCGCATATAGCGAAGCATTTCAGCAAGTTAGGCTACAAAACTCTCTTTGTAGTGCCCCAGAACAGCTTATCACAGAACATAGATGACGACGCGGTCACTACCAATAAGTTTTTTGCCATACCCGTTGGCGATGGGGAGAAGCTCCCGAGTTTGACCATAGCAGTTACAATTGTATTGTCTTTGACGAGATCTATATGAATGGCACACACATATTAAATAGAATCAGAGAGTTTGTTAAGAAAAACCCGAATAAAATCATAATCGGAGCGGGTGATGTTAAACAGCTACCGCCAATTGAAGACCTAACTAATACAAGGAAGCCGGACGAATACGCAGACGAGTGTATTGATCAGATCTTCAAGTATAATGTTATGCTTGCCATATGTAAGAGATTAGGACCACAAGGAGATCCAACAGCAGAAGCCAACAGAAAAATATTAGATATGATGTATGATGATATATGGAATCATAAGTTATCTTTATCCGAGTTTGTTCATAAGTATTTTAATACGACAAGTGACATGACAGAATCACAGAAGAACATAGCCTATACGAATATGAGGTGCTTAACGGTGTCTAATGCAATCCGAAAGAGTTTAGGTAAAACGGATAGGTATGAAGTGGGTGAGATCTTAATCTGCCGATTATACAAGAAAACGAACAATGTCAAGTTCAATGTTAATTACCGGTTTAAGATCGTAAGCATATCAAAGAACATAATTGAGTTAGAGAATGTTAAATCCAAGCAGCAGTATATAACGGACATAGCTACCTTAGATAAGCATTTCAGATATAACTACTGCACTACTTGCCATTCCGCGCAAGGGGCTTCTATTGATGGTAAGATCGTTGTACACGAGTGGGAGAAGTCGCATTTAGTAACTCGTGAGTGGTTGTGGTGTGCTTTGACCAGAAGCACCGATTTTAATAATGTCTTGTTCTACGAGAGTGCCGAAGCAGACAACGAACTGAACGAAACAACCTTGCATAAATATTGGCTTAACAAGATAAACGCCTATAAGCTACAAGATCAGAAAGCGAATAGAGAAATAAACGACAGCAAGTATATTAATCCAAGTTGGTTTATGAAGCGAGTGTATAGTCATTGTAACAATTGTGGTTGTAACTTTGAATTTGAATTTAAGAACGGCTTCGTAACAAGTAACATGACAGCCCAGAGATTAGATAACAGCATCGCGCACGAAAGCGATAACTGTGAAGCTTGGTGTAAGTTATGTAATTGCAGTGCAAGGTAAACACTAAAGCTTATTATAGTAAGCTTTCATATTTATCTTACTTTCAGTAATGTAAACATTAATATATTTAATGGTTAGCTTATGTTTGGTTCTTGATCTTAATGTTAAACTTACTTTCCATAAACTTAATTGCTTCTGGTATGCTCTTCTTTTCCCATAGTAGATAGCGTGCCCATGTTTGAGGCTTCTCTATATCTGTCCACGATTGTGTAGCGCCGTGCCTTTTAATGTATGAGTCACGCCTTTTATCATCCTTATGTATTGTATAGTCTTCATAAGGGGCACTGCCAAACGACACCTTCTTATCAGGAAATATAGCGTCGTATTTCTTCCCTTTGACAGTAGTTTTTTTAACATGACTTCAACCGTTAATATATCTTAGATATTTATCGTGAACTCGAACTAATTGTTATGGGTCGGCTACTTTTTGAACTTTTAGAACTAACATACTGAACGGTTCTGTTTGAAGAACTACTTGAAACATTGACTGGTAGATCTTCTTCATCAAGATATTCTATAGTTTGGCTTCTTGAACTATTGACACTAACAGGGGCGCTTTCAACCGGTAATAAAACACTTCTACTAGTTGCTGATGATGATGATGAACTTGATTGTATGTGTGTTTCACTCTTTTTATTTGGCAGAGCCTCGCGAATGCTCGCGAGGCTCTGCCGAGCGTCATTACTTCCCCCTGCGCTACTAGCGTGGCTTGTTGACCGTGATCCTGGCAAATCAGCCTCAACTTCATCAAACAAACTATTAAATAACCTCCTCATTAATGATTTTTGTTTTTCTTTCTCGTCTGATGCTTCACTCGTTTGATTAGAAACTTGTTTAGTTTGTTTGTCTTCACTTGAGGTTGACTGCTCTGATTGTGTTCGTGTCATACTGTTCTGTTTCAACATATACCTAAATGTTTGTGTCATTTTGTTTCTTCTGTTTTTTAACAAAGCCTCGTAATCTTTAATCTCACTGTCAAATATCCATCCTAAACCTTCAAAATCTGGAAAATCTGCTAATACTCCTTTTTCTGCTGCTGTTGTTATTTCTTCAACATCATAACCTTTTGTATTTAAAAAGGGATTATACATACCTCTGATATAAACATCATCATCATCGGATAATCGCCTTTTTCTTTTCGGTAGTTTGTCTTTGTATAAGTTTAACCTTCTGTTCATTATTATATATTGAACATAAGATTATTAAGTCCCTGTCAATGCACTCACTGCCCCTTTAGCTAAACCTTTCCCAACTTCTTGCAACGCTGTTTTAGCAACATCCGCTCCGACGGAACCGGCACTCGCTAGGAATTGACGTAATAGTCCTTTTCCTCCACCTCTTTTAACC